TCTAGAATCTAATCTAGAAATATATCTAGAATCTAATCTAGATCTAGATTCTAGATCTATATCTAGATCTAATTTGCTGCTACATTTTCTGAAATAACGAGAGCTCTCATTCCGATAACATGTGTATAATAAACTTTGAAACAAGTCAACAAGCACACAGTTGGTACAGGAATCTTACTTTAAACAGAGAAGCATAGATAATCCAGAGTTCCTTGCACACATAACTTTACAAATGCAGGCCACTACAAACGTCAATAGCTTAATCGCAGTAAAAAATGTTGCTATCTCAAAGACTTCACGCTTTCGTTGGTGTGTCGGTGGACGGACGACAGACCCTCCTGTAGATCTTGAACTCTAGATCTAGATCTAAATCCTGACTTCAGAACCAGACAGAGTAGCCAAGCCAAGTTATGCACCAAACCAAAATAATCCAATGTGGGGAGATTCGGAAACTAGGTTTCCACGCATGCGCTTCGGCTCTTGTCACGTAGGCTAAACCAAAACACGCACACACACAACGCGCACACAAATGCACACACACACATTTGAGGTCAAGGCAAAGGTCGTGTTCCTCAGGGTGAAAATGAGAACAAGGGGTCCGGTGTAGAGGAGGTTTCTTATCCTCACTTATTTTGAGCTTTCTTTTCACGATACACTCTATATCCACCAGTTGATCGATGTCGTGATCAGTCTCACAGTAAAATTTTAATTTTGTTGGACCGAGATGTGTTTTAGCAAGTTCCACATCCCATAAAATCCGAACAACAAATGCTATAAACAGCCACAATTCAAGATCAAGGACAGAATATGAAGACCCAAGGTACGCACGTGCGTTCCCAGGTGGAAAAATACACTGTTTTGATAACTGTACAAAAGCAAGCCTGTCTACCGTAGTAAGAAAACTGTTTCGAGCAGATCTGATCGTATATATTTATTACAATATTGTCAATGTGCATCTTATTAACGTTTAAGATGTTTACCATTAAATGATAAATGCTATACCCTTTTCAGCGAGCGTCGTTAAATTGTACTCAGACGTTCAGTAATTAGACGACTGTAATTGGACGTTCGCTGTTCCTGACATTCTACCTAGATCTAGTCGAGAGCAAAATCCGCACAAAACCGGTATCAGTTCAGACTGCTTTGACCTCTGGACACTGGAAGTGTAGTGTCTGTTATTTATATATAACAGCTGATGATTCCTGCTGATTTGGCGTATTAAAAAAAAAAAACAGCACTCTACACGGTGACAAGAACAATTACAGTGTATGTTGCAGACCGTGATGTGAACTGTGTGTTCAGTTCAGCGGGCCCTTTAACAGTGAAAAAAATGGTGAAATGGTATGAGCTTAACGCCCCTATCAACACAATTAGGTCGTTTAACAGTACAATCGAAAACAGTTTGAAATAATTTGTAACAATCATAAATATAGCCTATAAATTATGATTATCACAGACACACTTGGCTGTGGCTCATCATTTTATCCCGTAATAAGATTTTAAATTTTTTATTCCATTTAACAATTTTTTAAAAACATTGGGGGAGGGTGGGGGTGTGAAATCTGTTCTTAATCTGCACATTTTTTCCTCACTCTGGACGATATTTACTTTCTCTGCTGTCGGCCCATTGTCAACTTGGACAGGCTTGAGTTGGATCTATTAGTGCAAGGAAGAGTTCTGAGTCATCGTTTAATAACAATCACACCCACCCCATCTCCTTAACCCTCCCACAACACATGTTGCTTACAACAACCGGGGTTTCGTGCATGCACGAGCGTTCCATGAACAAATGGAGGTCGGCGTGATTTCGAAATGCATGTACATCGGCTATAAAGTAGGCTACACTGTAGTATGAAGTGCAACTTTTCCATCTGGAGCAAAAGCCCTATTTCGAAATAGCAGTGAACTCCTGGTGGTGAATCACAATTGGCATGTTTTCGCTTTAAGTTCGTTTTTGTTTTGTTTGTTTTGATTTTGTTTTGATTTGTTTATTTGTTTATTTGTTTATTTGTTTGTTTTCGCGAATCCCTGTGCCTACAGTGGATCAGGCTCGAGTGCGCGCTTGCATTCATTCATTATTACACCCAGGGGCGGCTCGTGGGTCTAAAAAGTGGGCGTGCACAATTAAGCTATCTTAGGCTGAAGATAATCAAGGGCAGAGTAAATGGGATGGTGTATAATTTTAGGATCTTTGGGTTGGTGAAGAAAGACCTTGTGCTTTTATTTTCATTCTTTTTACTTGTGGCTTTGACTT